GCGCCCGGCCAACAAGATAGTTTTTTAAATAAACTTATTTTTCTCTTTTTGAGACAGAGTCTTGCTCTGTCGCCCAGGCTGGAATGCAGTGGTACAACCTTGTCTCACTGCAACCTCTGCCTCCAGGGTTCAAGTGATTCTCCCGCCTTTGCCTCCTGAGTGACTACAGGCGCGTGTAACCACACGTCTGGCTGATTTCTGTATTTTTAGTAGAGAGGGGTTTCGCCATGTTGGCTAGGCTGTTCTCCAACTCCTGACCTCAGGTGATCCACCCATTTTGGCCTCCCAAAGTGCTGAGATTACAGGTGTGAGCCACCACGCCTGGCATAAAAATAAACACTTTTTTTTTTTAAGAGACCAGGTCTCACTATCAGAATGCAGTGGCTCCCCTATAGCTTCCTGCAGCCCTGAGCTCCTTCCTGGGCCCAAAAGATTCTCCTGCCTCTGCCTCCTAGGTAGCTGGAACTACAAGGACACCCCCAACACATTAATTTCTTTCTTTCTTTTTTTTTTTTTTTTTAAAGAAACGGGTCATACTATGTTACCTAGCTGGTCTAGAAATCCTGGCATGAAATGATCCTCACATCTCAAGACTTCTGAGTAGCCAGTGATTACAGGCACGAGTCACTAATTAACTTTAAATGCTTAATCCAACATCTCCCTTTTTTCACTTCACTACAAGGAAGCAATGACATCTTGTATGTTTACATTTTAAATAAGCTCTCAACCAGCTTTGTAAGGTAAACTCCCATTTACCTAGAGGTTAAGGAATAAGTATTTTCCTTAACCTGAAGGTTAAGGTTCTGGTTAACTGAGATTACTACATATTCACAATTCTATAAAATTGTGTATTGGAAGTCAATTTAGGTATCAATGCTAAAGTCAGAAAATGATTTGTACCTTGGTGAATTTTTAGAATTTTCTTATGTTTTAAAATCATGTTACTTTTCAAAAGCGTAAGGAAAAATCTGTAGGAGATTCATTCCATGACATTGTCTGTTGGTTGCTTTTTGAGTAGATTTTCTCATGGCTTCATCTATCTTACTCATAAGACTAAATGGGGAGACAGACTTCCTGGCTGTGTGGGCTCTGTGCTAGTCTGAAGTCTAGATAAGCAGGAGTTTACAGTCCAAGACCCAATACTTAAACTGTCACCTTGATTACTGGACAAACACCACCAGTAAATAGGAGTCTTCCCTCCCCACCCCCAAATATTCTTAAATACCTAGCTCCAACGTACAATATAATACTCCAGAAACTAAAACATGCTTACCTTTACTCCACAGGAGTAAATCACTGGCAGTATCAACTATTAGGGCACTGGATAAATACACACAAGCTATGAAAGCAGGCTATGGAGTCAATCTTCCTGTGGTGAGCATTGTTTCCAACACATAGATCAGCAAACCAAGTAACAAACATGTTGTATTACCTGAAACCATACTGTTGGAAGTGAAGCAACAGAAAGAGATCCCACGCTTTCAGCATCCAGTTCAGTGCCCTATCTACTAAAACGTTGAAGCAGAACTGAAGTCAAATCAAGCTTGGACTAACACAAGTTATGTTTCACTCCATTTGTAAATGTGCACACACTTGAGGTACACAGCTTCAAGTGGAATGGAAAAAAAAGTTATTACTCTATTCCTTTTTAAATGCTTTTCAAGCATGGCATGTATTATCACTTGAAGGTTAAAACTAATCACATCCTTCATGTTGGCCATAAATCACACACCGAAATAGTATACTCAAAATGTTCTCGTATTAGGGCACCCTTACCCTAATATTATGTGATAGGACGATGGCAGAGTACCCAGGAAATATTAAAAACATACACTGAGTTTGCAGAAGGGGTCACATGGCTTAAGGGGGAAAAAACCCAGATTTAAGGCAAAGTATGTGATCTCAAAAACTACCACTGAAAAACTTCAATGACATTCTCCAATCCCAAACTTAAAAAACCAGATTATTTAGTATCTTTCATAATAGATGAAAATTTACAATGAAAAGTATTTAATACTCCTCCCCTAAACGTTCATCTAAAGATCTGGGGGCATCAATTTCTGGAATTTTTAACTCAGGAAATTTGTCAAAGGCTCCCAAGAATGCTAACACTGAGACCAATCTACTCAGGGTCTCAACTTTACTACATACAGTAAACCCAACTCTACTGAATCAAAGGCCAGTAAATTTGGCATGAGACTACTCTAAAAGCGATTATTTTACAAACCAAACAATGTTCAGACTGCCCCAGAAGCCTAAGGTATAAGACCATAATTTCAAACATTTAAAGCAAAAACAAGAGCCTAGTCTTTTATAATTAGACAGGCGACAACCTACAGCAGGATTCACAAAATTCCCAAATGGGAAGAATCACACTTGGGCTCATTACACACTAACCGTTAATAGGACCAGATCTACTGTCCTGTTATTAAAGAAGTATTGCTGAACTTTAGCTGATAAGTGAATGGGGGGACTTTTTTGCTTCCTACCCAATCCAACGCAGGAAAGTCTATGTACCTACCTTGTAAAACTATCTCAAAGTTAATGCAACATTGTAGTTTCCATTGATTTTTAAGCTTTAAAAACTCTGCCCTCAGATAGCTTGCTACATGGCATGTATATTTTGCCAGACACTAAGTAATTTTAAAGTACCTACCCCAAATGAACTGCAGCACTGCAGAGAACAGAATGGGTCCACACCACAAAGTAAAATGAGAAATTTCAATGCTTATAAGTAAAAACTACTGACGTTAATGTTGGAAAGAGTAAATCAAAGTGAACTCAGGAGGGCATACTATGGAAACAATTACTGATTCTAAAGTCCCATAGTAAACTGTAGAAACATCCACTAAAGGTGTAACAGGCATGCTTTCCTAAAAAATAGCTGTCCATTCTTACATGCAAAAGGGAAAAAACCTATTTCTAAAACCAACTGATTTTTAAAGTATTTTAGGATGAAACTGTAATCACTTTATTCTCAGACTTGCAGAAGGAAATGCACACAGAACCGTGTTTAAGAAATTCAATTTGGATACTGTATTAACCAGTCTTATCCTCAATATTAAGGCTATAAAACTGTTGCCCTTTTAATATCCCTCAAAATGGGAGAAAGAGAAAGGGACAGATATGGTGGCAAGCGCAGACACCCAAAAAAAAAAAAAAAAAAAAAAAGAGTCTGAAAGTTTTTCATTAAAAAAGCAAGCCTTAATATCTGGAACACGATGGGGCTGCATAATTGCGCAGTTAAGAAAAATCAAGTATTAGATCCCTTAAAAATGAGAACTACATTATTTTTAAGTGTAATTCTAAAATCAACCTGGGTAGGCCAGGTGCAGTGGCTCAGGCCTGTGATTACAGCACTTGGGAGGCCGAGGCAGGCGGATCACCTGAGGTCAGGAGTTCAAGACCAGCCTGACCAACATGAAGAAACCCTGTCTCTACTAAAAATACAAAATTAGCCGGGCGTGGTGGAATATGCCTGTAATCCCAACTACTTGGGACGCTGAGGCAGGAGAATTGCTTGAACCTGGGAGGCAGAGGTTGCGGTGAGCAGGAATCACACCATTGCACTCCAGCCTGAAGAAGAGCGAAACTCCGGCTCAAAAATAAAATCAACCTGGGTAATAAAATTCTACACCAATTTTATTTTCAGTAAACGACAGCTGGTCACTATCTAAAACGTTTATTAACTATGAATATAAACATTTCTCCATTTTTCCTGAGATTATTCAAAAAAGTTGTAATATTACATCATTTTAGGTAGCAGGACAAGTGTAATTACTTGAAAGAGTCAAAACACTGACCTTCAAATTTAAGTTTATGATCATTTCAAATTACTGGAAACAATTACATGAGATTCAATGTATATAATGGAGTAATGTCAAACACAGTTATAGTTTAATCTTAATTTGCTACGCTTAGCTAGCAGTGAAATCGGGCTGTTAGTGCCCGCCACTCACCAAATATAGGGAATAACATTCATCGAAACTGTGACCCCAGTCTTTTGTTTTCTCTTTTTTGCTTTTCCCCTTGCCTGTTTCCCGTCTGCTTTTTCTCCAACGTAAAGCTGGACTGATTTCAGTGGATGAGACTACAGTAATAAGCAGATCTTTAAATGTTACCCTAAATGGGCTCTTAAAATAGAATGTAGCTTGTAAAGATATAAGGTAACTGCCTGCAAGTTAGTGGCCTTCTACCCTCCAGTGGTGGTGTATAAACCCCTGAAAATTCAAATATAATCCTAAAGGCAGAAAGACTGACATTTAGGGGAAGGGAAAGGATGGATAAAAAGAACAATACTCAACCTACCAGCCTCCAAAGAGAAGTCATGCAATTGTGAATACATGTCAACCAACTGTTATTAATATTCCAGCCAAATCACACTGAAAACAAAAAATCTGGTAAGAGCTGTAGTGGAAAGCCACATTAGCCCACCTTTGAATGGCATATATATATATACACACACACACACACACACACACAATTCTTATGAAAACTCTATTTACAAATGTGGTAGGTAAAAGACAAACATTTTTCCATAATACACAGTGCTGCTTAAAGAACTGCTTCAGACATCTCCAGAATATTTCAGTATAACATGCATGACATTTTAAACACAACATTTTATTTCAAGTAGTCTTCATATTTAGCCATTAAACTTAGAATTCCAACAAAAATATTTTTCATCTTAAATCAAATGCGAAGATTACAGTAGTATTTTTTCTTGCTCGATATAAAAATATCGTTACTAATTGTTTAGCTTGAATTGCCAAACTGCAACTACATGCATTACCACAGACCAAATACCATGTAACGGCATCAGTTTTGCCCAAAGATTACACATGATGCCTAAAAAAGTATATATCCCAGGTACAAGCCTACTGTATGTACTATGGTCTAGAATTTCCTGGGGATCAATGGGCAACTAACCAATACACAGCCTCTGCATATTATGACTACTGAAACCTTTATAATACAGAAATAAAATTTAAAAGTTTTACCATTCTTCCCGCTGTGCCGTCGCTGCTTCAGAGTGTCGTGGGGAGGAGTTTGAATGGCTAGGGAATTAACAACCGGTACAGCAACCAATCAAAATTCTAGTTTTAGTTTTTGACACTGTTAGGGTTAAAAACTTTAATTCATTTACACTTCAGTTCAACAGTAGGTAACTATAAAGTCAGCTGCTTTGCGATTTGAATTATCAGGGCTAACAGAAAGCCTGCCCCAAACAGGAAGTTATACAATTAATCATTTTGGTGCCTCTGTCCAAAGAACAGAATTCAGCAAACGAAAACCAAAATGTTAAAGATTTTAAGTTTCCAAATATCTAACATCCTCCTTTCTCAAATAAGCTATATACAATTCGAGTTAGATCTGTTTAATTTTTAAAAGTTTGTTTCCCTTCCCACCACCACTCCCCCAAAACCAGCACTATCATCAAACAGCCTGACAAGAATCTGCCTAGGCTGGGTTTAACCCTATATTCCAAAGTGCTTCTCCCCTCCCCACTCTCCCTCCAAATCCTGGGCTCTTTCTCAGTAAAGGGAATCGTGTTTTTTAACACTGGGTTAAAGCGACATCTTACTGTTATAGCCATCAACATCTTTGTCTTTACAGTTTAAAAAAACATTCAGACACACACACACCCCTCCCCATTACAAAAAGGAATGGAAGCGTGAACCCACGATCATCACTCAGTAATCGGAGCTAAGAAAACTCAACCAAGAACCCCGATTTAATCCCTCCTGCTAACTCCCGTATTATGTTCCCAATCCCAAATGCTGCATTTTTAATACACTAAATGCAGATTTAGGTAGTATATACAACTGTTATTTCAATCAGAGGAAGCAAGTTAATACTAAGAAATTTGCACCAAAAAAAAAAAGTATCCCATAGCACAATACAGGATTTGTTTCTCTTAAGAGGACTATAGGCCTCCCTTAGTGGGCGGGAAAGAGAAATCAAGACACCAAAATAGGATCCTGGGCACCGGGAAAAAAAGGGGACTAGAGATTGTAAAAAATTAGGTTGCACATAAAAAGTAAGTTACAATCTGTACTAACAGTTGGGGAACCCAATAGCTGACGGCGCGAAAAGGGTGCGCGGTTAGAATAACTCAGTGGGGTGGGGGAAGGGTAGACACTAGGCCGGAGATAGGAACAGCTCCAGTCAAGTGCAGGCCCCATCGACTAGGAACTTAACCTGAGCCCGCGGAGCAAAACCAACGTACCAACATGAAAGTCGCAGCATTTCACCGGAGCTCATTTGGTCTGCACGTCAAAATATAGGGCCTATATCAACATGCCATTGTGCGATAGCGTATGGTGAAGAAAATGAGTAAGTCCTTAGGCAAACTTATTCAAAATCTCAAGAAAACATTCGGCCTGAGGCCGACAAGGGAGAGGCAGAAGTGGACAGCCTACGCGTTCCCCAAAACATGCGCTTATAAACAATCGCATCGTTTCAGGATGGTGGAGAAGCACCAAATAAACCTTAGCAATACAAACACGGAAGCTTTTTGTGTCTGTCTGCGTTTTTATGCCCAAGACACTAGAATTTGGGAAAAAGAGGGGACAGCATGAAAAGAAAAAAAGGTACCCCTCGACAGGCGGGAAAAAATCCTGGCGGCTAAGTCGGTGGGAGGAGACCCATGGCGAGGGAGGAAAGGAGGGCGGGCCGAGGAGCAGCATGGTGACGGCTAAAGGTGGAAACGTGTGTGATGGGGGAGGGGGGCGATAAGCAGGCAAAGGAAGGAGGAAATGAAGGTCCGGGGAACCCAACATAGAAAAGGGGACACCAGAACAAGAAGGCTACATGGGGGCCCGGAGAACGGGCTGAGAGCGGGAACCAGGCCTAATGGCGGGGGAATGAGGGGGAGGGGGACTAGTTGGGCCTGACTATCCTGGGCTGCCCCTTACTCACCCTTCATCCTCCTCGTTCTTACTGGCGTCAATCTTCGCCCCCTCCGATTCGGCGCTGCCCCCTTCGGTGCCTCCAGACGCGGTTCCGCCCCCGGTCCCGGCTCCGCTTCCCGCCGCCGCCGCTGCCCCCTGTGTCGCCGCCACCATGGCTCCCTCCTGCTCGCCCGCCGAGCCGCCTACCGCCGCCGTTGCCGCCGCCGCCGCCCCGTCCCCGCCGAACTGCTCCTCCGACATAGTGCTAGTGTCTCCGCCGCTGCCGCCGAGACTACACCCGCCGCTGCCGCGAACCGAAACTAGCAGCAAAGTAATCCCCGCCGCTGCCGCGCGCCCGCTCTACCTCGCGAAGCACACAAGACAGGGAAGGCGCGCGCGTGGCTGCAAAGGCTCCTGCGCCTCTCCCTGGCCTGCCCCCTTCGCCTCCCACTCTCGCGCGGCGCACACTCCCGCTCTCTCCCGCTGCACTAAAAAAGAATAAGCACCAGCGGCGGCCGCTCTTGCCTCCTCCTCGCTTTAATGGCGCCGCCGCGGACCACCTAAAATGGCCGACGGAAGAACGGCGCGTCCCGGTCACGTGATGCGAGAGCGCGCCCTTCGCGCGTCCCCCCCACCCCTCTCCCCCTAGGGTTTTTTTTTCCCTTTCCTCTTCGGTCCCGCCCTCTCGCTCCCCTTTATACCTTCCTCTCACGCTCGGCGTCGCACAGCCTGTGGGGGCCTTTAAAAGGAACCGGAAGTGTCGTGAGCTAAGACTGTCGCGCGGGGACCATCGAGAACAAGGAGTGCTGTTTCCAAGTAGCGGCTAGAGGGGCCCCCTGCCTCCGCCCCCGCCCTTCCGAGGATTCCTGGAGTCCACTCACCCCTCCCCAACACTCCAGTAGCAGGCGGGAGCAGCAGCATCAGGCCGGGGTGTGGCTGCACCTCCGCGAAGGCGGCAGTTCCCCGTGCAGCTGCGGCGTTCAGGTGGGGGAGGGGAGGCTCACACCCTGCGGCGGCTTAAGCCTGGATGTACGCGCTCGAGGAGGGAATTAGCCCTGAGATGTCAGCCCTGTGCCCCTGGCTCTGTCCACCCGGACGCCTGCGGAGCGCCAGGCGCCGCAGCGGACCGCGCGCGGACTGATTGCCGCAACTCCTCTTCCTGCCGTCGCCGCCCGGGACCGGGTGACATTGAGGTTTTCGTCTATCGCCGCTGGGCCGATAGGGCTTCTTTTTAAGATTTGACTTTCCAAGTAAGATTTTTGTTTGCCTGCTTTTCTCCTGAATTTTTTTTTTTTTTTTTTTTTGGTCGAAGGAGGAGGTAACTTGCATATTTTAAGGAAAACATCGTTTTTGCTTTGCTTTTGTTGTTTAAAGATCCTAAAAGGTACCGTGATTCCTTTACGTCAATTGGAAAGTGTGTTAAAGCAAGGGTTAGCTTAATGTTCTTTAGTCCTACATAGGATATATAAATGTCGTGAGTCATCTTTACGAGCTTTATGAGTTTGTGTTCGGGTTTGGGTTTTTTTGTTGTGTGTGGTTGTTTTGTTTTGTTTTGTTTTCTTGTAACACCGTTAGGCGTTTCACTAAGGTGTATAAAAAGTAATTTTGTACACCTATTAAAAATTCCCGATGCCTCGGCTGGAGACTGGATTATTCGGGCTTTGGGATTTGCTGCTTCCAGCGGTATCCTTAGAAGAAAATGAAGCTTTTAGGTACTTCGGTAGTCAACAAATAATTATTTGCCTGTTTAGTAAGTGTTCGGGCACGGGGGAGACAAAGACGAGTTTGCAGAATCCAGCAAAAACCTTAAGAGTTTAAGTATTTGGGCCGGGCGCGACGGTTCACGCCCATAATCGCAGCACTTTGGGAGGCCGAAGCGGGCGGATCTTGAGGTCGGGAGTTCGAGACAAGCCTGACCAACACGGTGAAACCCACGTCTCTACTAAAAATACAAAAATTAGTCGGCGTGGTGGCGGGTGCCTGTAATCCCAGGTACTCAGGAGGCTGAGGCAGGAGAATGGCTTGAAGTCGGGAGACGGAGCTTGCAGTGAGTGGAGATCGCACCATTGCACTCCAGCCTGGGCAACAGAGCGAGACTCCGTCTCAAAAAAAAAAAAAAAATTAAATATTTGTTTTTTCACTGTACTTAAACGAGTTTGTATTAATTGGACACTATCCAAAAATCTCAAAGGAAGATTATAAATAAGTTTTCTTAAATTAGTAGAATTTACATTAAAGAATAATTAAAACTTAAGAATACAGGTCAAATTCTGAAAACGTCCTAAAAATATAATCTTACCAAACTCCTGTAATAGTCAAGTCATGTAAAGATAATACCAAGAATGTTTATCTTAAAGTGGTAGTGACTCCACATTTGTCTCCACCTGCCAGAATATTAGCAAAGGATAAAGTGGGTATGGTGCTGAAACGTATATTCCTGTTTAGAAACAACTAAGATGATTGACTGAAGGGAAGTCTGTTTAATCTTTCTGGCTTCAGGCGAGGGTAATTATCATTTATTTTGATCTTAAGATATCATTAGACATACCCACCTTTTGGTAATAGTGACTTTTCCAAAAGGTTCATCTTGATTTCCCATGTAGCTTAGGAGCTTCTGGAATTCTTAGCATTTATGTCAAAAATTCCAGACAACCTAGGAATGATTTTAAAGCTAACAACTTTACTATATGCTTTAATGAGGATGTATGATGTCTATATCACCGATAGCTCTTCGTATTATGGCCAAGATCTGCACATCCAGGATGTGCTCCTGCATCTACGCTATATTCCTCTTGGAACTCACTTAACTTCTGGCAGACATAGTGACTCACGCCGGTAATCCAGCGCTTTGAGAGGCCAAGTCGGAAGGATTGCTTGCCTCCAGGAGTTGGAGATCAGCCTGGGCAACACGGTGAGACCTTGCCTCTACAAAAAGTCAGAAAATTAGCCTGGCATGGTGGTTCCTGTTGTTCCAGCTACTCCGGAGGCCGAAGTGGGAGGATCACTTGAACCTGGAAGGTGGAGGCTGCAGTGAGAAAAAGGCAGAGTGAGACCCTGTCTCAAAAACAATTGTTACTATTTATGTGAAGTCTTCCCAGGCTTCCTGAGGCAGAATTAATCATCCCTTTTCACAGCGCTTTATCTTTACCTCTGTTATTCTTAATTGTTTTCTACTAGACCATGAGTTCTTAAAAAACAGAGTGTCTTCTATGTATCCCTCCCTCCCTAACACACTGTCTCTCTCTCACACGCACACACACACACACACACACCAGCAATATATCCACACTATATAATTGCCAGTTGAATTATTGAATGACAAAATACTAGGTATGTCCAACTTGCTAGGTTAAGGGGCTTTCAAGCACACTAGGTGTTCTTCCAGGGACTTGAAAGTCTCCACACCATCTCATTTCATCTCTGGCATTAAAAAAAAAAAAAAAAAAAACCGCTTTTGGCCAGGTACTGTGGCTCATGCCTACAATCCCAACACTTTGGTAGGTCAAGGAGGGAGGATTGCTTGAGACCAGCCTGGGCAACATAGCAAAACCTGTCTCTACAAAAAATTTTAAAAGTCAGTTCCTGCCCACCCAGGGGTGCCTTGGGTTGTGTTTAACCCGTTTCTGTTGCCGGGTGTGGTGGCTCACTCCTGTAATCCCAACACTGAGAGTCGAGGTGGGTGATCACTTGAGGCCAGGAGTTGGAGATCAGCCTGGGCAACGTGGTGAAACCCCATCTCTACTGAAGATACAAAAATTAGCTGGGCATGGTGGCGCACACCTGTAATCCCAGCTACTGGGGAGGCTGAGGCAGGAAAATTGCACGAACCCAGGAGGCAGAGGTTGCAGTGAACCGAGATTGCACCACTGCACTCCAGCTGTGCAACAGAGTGAAACTTTGTCTCAAAAAAAAAAAAAATTACCTAGGTGTGGTGGCCTGAGCCTGTGGTTCCAGCTGCTCAAGAGGCTGAGGTGGGAAGATGGCTGGAGTCCAAAATTCAAGGCTGCAGTGAGCAGTGTGATCATGCCACTTCACTCCAGCCAGGACGACAGAGCAAGAGCCTGTGTCAAAAACAAAAAACAACAAAAAAAATGCTTCTTCAAATGACCTGCTGATTGATGTACGAAATTTCTTGAGAATTAAATAAAACTTTTTGTTAACACATTCATAGGTAACAATTAATTGTTTAAGTGGCTGGAGATGCTGTATTGGACTTGCCCCAAACGCTAGAAGGAAGCAATATCCCCTGTCAATGTACAGGGCATGAACTGTTCCACTGCTTCAGGAGGTTCCCAGTGTGTTTCAGATAACACACTAAAATGCTAGATCATCATTGAATGTAGCCTTCGTAAAGCAATTGTTCTCTGCAGCAAAAACTAGAGTTCTTATAAAAGGCCAAAAACGAAGTCCATTTGAGAATTAAACTGGAATCATTTTTACCTAGAACAAGATGCGTACACCTAAGCCAAGGAAATCGCAGTTTTCATCTGCTAGATACACTCTACAAACGCAGCAGGTTTCCCTATGTTCAAATTTTTAAAGTATTAATAGGATATGTATGCCAGTTGGCAACCTGGAATAAACAATGTGGAAGAAACAGCCGAAGAACGCATTTTTTAATACAAGGTACGCATACTTGAGCTGCTTCTACAACCATGTTAAACAGCCTATAACCTATCTGGACCTATTTGCAGAACACCTTCAGTGGGATTTAAGCGTTTTGTTGGAGAGTTACTTTATGATTTTACGTGAAGTGACCAATTGCCCATGCAGTGAACATTCTCTGTCATCTCCCTTGGTTATCAGGAAGCTTCACTTTATTCAATAAATAAAAGCCCTATCAACTCTGAAAAGTCAGATTTTACTTCAGCAGTAAAGTCTAATACTGTAGAGTGAGTTCTGCTTACTCATGAGGATGTCAATAGTTTGCTTTTAGATACGGTTTTTTAAAACCTAGCTAAAAGAATTCAGACAAAGCTGATCACATGCCTGTAGTCCCAGCTACTCAGAAGGCTGAGGGAGGAGATTCCCTTGAACCCAGTAGTTCAAGCCCCGCCTGGGCAATGGAGTGAGACCCCCATCTCTTTAAAAAAGAAAAAAGAATCAAATAATAAGGAAATACACTGCTCTCACTCCAGACCTACATATCCAACTGCCTATTTGACATCCCCACTTGAATGTTCATAGGCATCTCAAACTTTAGATGTTGAAAACTGAACTCTGCTTTCCCTACAAACCTGCTTGCTTGGTCTTCCTCTTCTCAGTAAATGATGTCTCCACCCACCCATATGTTCCTGCCAAAATCCAGGGAATCATCTTTGATATCACTCCCCTTCACCCCCCACATCCAATCAATCACCAACTCCTCCCACCTCCAAAATATATCTTGATTCATCTAAATGCTTCCTAGAACATAAATACTGGGGTAATTTCTAGATAGCTATTCACATTCAACCATGTAACACTTTAATGACATGTACATTTCTAGTGCTGGGAAATATAAATGATCAAAATAGGCAAGGTCTCTGGCCTCATGGAGCTGACATTGTAGTGGCAGAGACAAAGGACAGACAAAATAGATATGTAATTTTAGGAAGTGATAAGAAGAAAAAAATGCTAGACACAGGGTATGTGCTATAGGGCAGTCAGAGGAAGCTCTTCAAGGAAATAACTTTTCAAGTAGCACCCTGAAGAAAGTAGGAGAGAAAGCCATATACTTAA